TTCACGTCTTGCCTTTAATAGCAGCTGTGAAATAGGCCATGGCTAGTTTCAGGGCTTCTAATAGCACAGTGTCTGACAGTAGTCGGCATAAGCAAGAGGTATCAGTCAACCAGCCCGCATGTTGCGCAAACCTGCTCTGTGTGGGATAGGATGCCCTGTGCTTTGGATCTCTTGTCATGAAAATCTTGAAGCAGGATTAGACAACCTCCTGAGGGATTCCTTGAGACCATGATAAGCAGGAATCATTCTGACTTTATAGCAACAAAAAATGCCATTTTGGCAAACTGTGTGTATATTTTGAAGCAATACACCTACTGCTGAGGTTCACACTCAGTTTGTCTTAAGTAGAGCAGGGGTTGTCAAAGACATTTCCTGTGGGCCAGATTTGGCCTGTGGAGCCACATCATTTGGCTCCCAGTACTGGCTCTGGTGCACTGGCTATGCGCACTAGGCTGAAGACATTTGCTGCGCATGGCATTTGCTCTGGGACCCATGGTGTATGCAACACCCATGTTAGGGCCAGTCCTGGACCCTCTCCCCCTCTCCCCCACCATGTTGAATCCAGCAGCCTCAGCACCTACTCTGGCCAGTCCAGGATATCAGTTGCATGTGGCACCTGTATCACTCAGTCTGGGGTGAGTGCTGTGTGCTATGTAGGTCCCCAAACAGGCTCCATGTGGGGTGTGGTCCCAGACTGGCCAGAGGATGCCCTGGATCTGGCATGCAGTGGGGATGGGGGGAATGTCTTCCATGGGTCCCCCTAATGCCAATTCCAGCTGGTCCAGAACCTGCGCTGCATAGGTGCTGGCCTCAGACTGGCCACAGCAGGTGCCATGGGTGCTGGATGTATCATACGGAGGTGGAGGGGGTGTTTGTGGGCCTAATCTGGCCCATGGGGCCAGCCCCACAAGTTCCTGTGGCCTGTGGACCAGTCTGGTACCAGGCCAGATGAGTTTGACACCCCTGAAATAGAACATAGTTCAGGTTTAATAAGGGGTGAGGATGAATCCCAGTGTACCTACAATACTTTGATTTGAATGGTTAGATTTTTGCATCAAATTAAAGCTAAGCATCCAGAAATTAGAGATGAAACTAATCAGGCATTCTTGTGCTCGCCAGTTTGCCTGATTGAAGCCTGCAACATGCAATTTATTGCAGTTTAGCAGACAATCCCCACTTTTGCAGATGATAACCGGAGGATAATAGTTAGAATAACGGTTATAGATGAAAAAGGTGTCACCTTGAGTCCTTGCTGCCTTCATGACACAATGCAGTCCCTCAGTACAGGGTGCATGAGGTATTAAACCGATCTGTCAGATTTGTTCTACTTTTATAGGTTTTGCATCTCACAATGTGAAACTTCTTTCAAAGTAAATTAAAATGTTCCATTACTATGTTGCCTGAGAAGTTGATTCTTCTGACAGCTAATATTTTTACAATAATCATTAAGATAAGGAAATTCAGTAGTAGTATTCATTGTACGTTCAGACTGAACAAGAACAGGCCTGTAGGCTGAAGGAAATGAGCCAAAATGTCTGAGTGAAAGAAAGACAGTATTGTGTCTTGTTTGAGTGGGAGGGAAAATTCAGAAGCTAGTTCTAGAGCCTGTTCCTTCTTGATAAAATTGATTATTTGTGGGGGGAGAAATGGGGAGAGGGAGTTTAACCAGCATCCCAGAATGCTGAAAAATACCTGAAATTCTGTTTAAGATGAAAAAGTGTGCACATACTTTATGCTTAATTGTAGTTACAGAGGAAGTTGTGGTGCTGTGTATGTCTTATTGCTGAGACTGTTTGTTTTTTCAGTTCGAGTCAAACGATGGTTTTTCTAATTGCCAGTGGACAGTAATGCGATTCACCTGTTTAACTTCTACACTTTTGTTTAGAAGTCAACCAGCCGTTTCAAATTCCTTTACAACTCATGAATGAGTATCATCCTTATCATTATGTTTCATCCCCTCTTTCTTCAGCAGAGTATTTAGTACTATACTGAAATTGAATGATCTCAACCAAATCGATTCCAAGAATACAAGGTAGTTACTTAGGCATTGTGTTTTCCTTAGCTGTGAAAATCCATGTGGTCTGATTAGCTGCTGGTATTCATATAATGAACCCTCAGTCTGTATGCAGTTTTCAGTTTCCTCTGTCATCACTACCAAATTAGATAGTATAGATTTGCATAATTAGCTTACAGTTTTTTCTAGGGAACGCACTGCATATGCAAATCTTTCTACTCTGACAGGCTGTTTGAATACCTCAGCATTAATTCGAAGAGACATTTCTCAGCCACCTGTTTACCAGCGGCTAACCCATCTCCTCATCTTTGCCCTGGGATGAACTGGAAAAATGCCCTTTTAAAAGAAGAAAAAAATTAGAAAGGCAATGGAAACATGGACACCAGAGAGTTTAGAGAGAGGTTCTTTTCAGTGGGCTAACGAAGGCTTTTTGTCCCCAGAATAACTAATTAAAATTGATAGCATTATTATGTACCTGCTTGCTTTGTGTGTGTGTCTGCCCTGCATGCATACATGCACCGTTTTTTGAACAGCCTAACTTTGAAATGCCATGACCTTTGTATTTATTTGCCTGACACTTTCCATTGCGACAGATTCTTTTAGTGGTTCTTGGTAAGCACAAGCACTTCTTTTGTTTGCCTTTGGATTTTGAAATTTGTCAGGGGCCAGCTTTGGGACCAAAAGAATTGCCTTTTTTTTTTTTTTCTTTTGTCCTATGAAATTATATTCAGGTGTGATTGAGAGAGAGGAGCCTGCTATTTCTATTTTATGATTTATATTGTCAGTGACATTTTTGGACAAGTGCCAAAGTTGCAACTTTACAAGAAGCTGGAAAGGGTTACTGTGCCCTCCACCTCCCTGCTTTACCTTTTACTCCTCTCCCAAGGTTCAACACATGGGAGAAGCATATTTGCCAGATAACCCAGTGGGGATGTGGGAGAGAGGGACAGAGAAAACCAGGCTGCCTTTGTTCCTGCCCCAAACCTGCCTGTGGCCATAGCCTGTTCAGGATAACATCCTTCTGCTGCTGCCAGCTAATGTTTTGAGCTTAGTAGATGAAGCTTTATTGCAGTGTTGAAGGTTCTGTCAATGATAAGCGGTCAATGATACACAGGTAGGGGTTGTTATAGGTGCATGCGATTGAATTTGGTTTGACCATTTTTTCTTTTAAAAACAGAATTTTATCAAAAAATATTAAAAGCTTAAACACGCAGAATTTAGGATGTGGGCCGCCCATTATTACGTTTCTTCTTAATTACTTTAACACAAAATACCTGAGATCCTGTGAAGGGATCAGGGTTGGGCATATAGAGTAGTTTGGGGCTATGTTGGGAAAGTACTTATTTGCAAGATCTTATTTATCTTGAGACAGAATGAGATGGGAGCTGCAGGAGGAGCAAAGATGGTTTTGTGGTGAAGGAACTTGATTGCTCCTTCAAGGCCTGGCTTTTATCCCTTCCTCTGGCCTAGAGTTCTTATGCGATTCCAGGGAAGCTCTTTAAAAGAGAAGTGTCAGGTGTTCTCCATTTGTCTGGTCCTCTGTTTCTCAGGGCAAATTGAGCCGTGACGTCTGATACTCAAAAGTGCTGAGCAGCAGAATGCAATGGAAGCGGTGACTTTTTAGCACAGATGTGCATTTTCTTACACATAGTACTAGTGTACAGCTATCATTTTAGGAAGGGAAGATTTGCTGACCTGTTCAGACAGGGAAAGGATTTAGAGGGAGGAAAGGAAGAGAAATAAAGAACCAGAGAAGATCAGAAGAATTAAGATAACTTGGCATCCTGCAAATAGTTGCACTTGTGAGGAGCCCTGTTTATTCACTGGGACTACTCACATGGGTAAGTTTTGGAAGGACACGTATTGAAGCATATAAAATGGTGGAATGGTTCTTTATGACCAAGTGGAGGATTTGGGCCAAGATTTGGACAGAAGATACTCACAAATGTTACTGAGTGTTGATGTGGCTCAGACAGTTCTGCCAGTCTCAGCCTCAGCCTTTGTTCGTCTTAGTAAGTTGATTTGCTTGAGCCACTCTGAGCAAGCGTGCTGATTGTTAAGCATTGAGGCTGCGTGGGTTCCCCATCCTTGTTGAATTGTGTAGGCAGGTCTTGGAAGACATTTGCAAAGCATATCAGTTCTCAAATGTAACTAAGAACTGCGCCTTGAGAAAGTACATGGCTTTATACTGAGGTTTGATTGGTGATATGCTGCTACCTGATGCCAGCATCACCCAGTCTGTATTGCTTAGACTTGGGGGGGGAGGAGAGTTTGGGTTGTTCATGTTGCTGCTATTTTCATATAGCTCTTGATACATATTTGTTCTTATGTCTGTAACATTGTTTACATACTAATACTAGAATTTTTCAGAAGATATTATGTAAATACTTAAAGACTTTTACCTCCTTTTGCCTTGATTGGATTTGTGTGAATATATTTGAGAATAAAGATTTTTTTTTAAAGTGATTCTTTTTTTTGGCTTGCTACATAGCTTTTTAACGTTGCAGGTACAGAGGGTGGCTTGCAAGACGTCTCTGTTACGTTCTCTTTGTGCAAGAACGTGATGTGCATAAGGGTATGTTTGCCAAGAATCTGACGGAAAATGTGTTAAACAGTGGCAGGTAAGATATTGCAAAGTAAACTGCCATTCTTAAGATTTGACTTTCCAGATTCATGCAGAATGTTGTTGTAAAACTGCTACAAAATGAGTGCAACAAATTCTGGAAGCAGGGATGCTTAAAGTAAGTTTAAGTACAGTACTTTTATGGCAGCTTCTCCTTTTAGCTATATATTTTTTGTTTAGAACAGTTATGGGAACAGGGCTTACACATCTTAGCCTCCACGTCTTTAGAGTGGCTACAGATAGACGTGCAACTAGCTTAATACAGAATATAATGAATAGCTTTTCACCCTTTCAGCTTTTGTTACCCAGTTCTGAGAAGTGCTATGTTACATCCACCAACTGTAAGGGATCAGCTGCGGTTGTTGTATGTTGCTTACATTTTAAAAATAGTAAGGTAGACTTTCATATTACTGTCCAGATTAATCTAGTTCATACTTTATAACATATCAGATATGCTGACTGTTTTGAAGGTGGGAGAGGGAAGCATTTGCTTTGCATTTCACCCAATAAGAACCATTTTCATGGAGCTGGTTCCATCTTTTAGAAAAGGGAGAATTCTCTTCTGTCTCCACTGACATACCTACCCCAGATGGCTTGTCTGGTTTCTTTCAAGTTGTTGAAATCATGGTATTTATTCTCTTGAAGTTGAGTGCAAGAAAGCTCTAGCACATATTCTGCCTTCCAGGCCAGTTCTGTAAGATGCTAAGTGCCCTCTACCCTACAGTTAATCAGAGTTGGGAGTGTTGGGTGCTTTGGTCCTGAACTGAGGCTTTTTCCCAAGCAGGTTGGTCCTTGTTGGTTGAAGATGGTGAAAGGCATTTTGCACTCTTTTTTTTCTTCTTATTTTCTGTTTCTGAAAATCATTGACCAGCTCATACTAGCTTGCTTGTGAATTGAAATTATCTACTGAACTCTTTGTTATAGTACCATTTTATATATTTTTCTTTTAAAATCAGGGTGCAGAAAGCCATTGTAGAGGAGGCTACTGAAACAAGTGCATCAGGGAGCTTCGCTCAGGTGGACCCCAAGGCCATCAGTAAGGTGAAGAAGAAAGCAAGGAGGATTCTGCAGGAAATGGTAGCAACTGTCTCACCTGCTTTGATTAGGTAATAAAAGTAGTTCACCAGAGATTTGTGCTGAGGCCCTGCAAGCTCTGTACAAATATAGCAGAGTGGCAATTCCTTGCTGCCTCACAAAACCCACCTTTAACGATATCCAAGAACACCAGGATTGTTTTGAAAAATGAAATGCAACCTGACCATGTCAGATATAGGAGTGTTTGCAGACTTTTCAACAAAAGTTATGATACAGTGAAATGAATGTACTTTTCCGGGTGAAGCTAAGCTCCATATTATCAGCTCAGTATAGCTAATAGTTTTTGCCTGAATCAGCTTAAAGTATCTTGTCTCAGTAACTTAGGCTCTGCAAGCTCTTATTGTCAGGCAATTTAATAATATTATTTTCTAGTTATGATTCTTAAGACGGAAATAAAATCTCATGCTGCAGTACCTAAATAATCACTAACAGGTTAGGCAGGAATTCTCTAAAGCCTTCATTGACTAGTGAATTGAGGTGGTAGTATCAACTCCTGTATTGCTGTCTGACAGAATTACAAAGTCCTGCCATTGTATCTATCAACTTTATCAAGCTGACACCAAAAGAAGGTAACTTTGAATGAAACTTTAACTTCCCTGGGGTTTGACATTTTTCTTCTTCAGGTTGACTGGTTGGGTCCTGCTGAAATTATTTAACAGCTTCTTTTGGAACGTTCAGATCCATAAAGGTCAACTGGAAATGGTCAAAGCCGCAACTGAGGTAAGAAAAAAACAGATTCTTGAAACTGAGAAAGTTTCTGATGTTGCCCATGCCTAGTATAAACCAGTTGTTTAACTGAATTCAGTGGAGTATTATTAGTCTAAATGAGATCAAAAGCAAGCTTCAGTTTCAAGTCCTGTGTGCCCTTTCAACAGACTCTGTGACTTTATTAGATATTTTTAGGAATTGTGCAATATTTTTAAGTACTGTGTAACCGTATACTCTGAAGGCCATAAACGGTCAGGTTATTTGGTATGACCTGCTTGCGGAATGATTGACCCTTTTTTATTCCCAATCCAGTGCAACAGCAGGTTAATACATTACTAGTTTTTTAAACTTTCAAAATTGCTTTTACCTTGGTCATCCCAGGATGACCTTATCTTCATACTTGTCAGCAAAGTGTCTAGCTGATTGCTCATTTATTTACATTTATTAAAGCAGCCTTTCCGATTCTACCATTCTCTCTACCCCAGGGAGGCATTACTCTTAAAAGGTCCTTTTTGCAATATTCTGAACTTTCTATTGCTTCCATGAGAAAATACTTCAGAAAAGTAAAGTATGGATAGTATACAGCATTAATATAAACATATACTCTGAAATGAGTGATCAGAGTCATTCTGGTACAATTTGGCTAGCTGTAGATAAGTTTCCTATAGCTTTTTGTTGAGGTTTGTTGCATCTTCTACATTAACTCAGCAACTGTTGGGCAGTGGCAGAGACAATTCTGGTACATCCCTCAATAAACTGACTGATACTATGTATCTTTAGAAAGTATGAATTTGGTACTTTCTCATAGTAACTACAATGTAAACACTGCTAGTGCCTGAAAAATAAGGATGTGTTCTCATTGCAAGCTGATGAAAGATAAGAGCAAAGCAGTACAGAGATGAAATTTTAGGAGTTCTTAAGTTTTACTAATTTAAGGTGTTTCTAGCAATCTCATTAAAGAAAGGTAGGTGGGAAATGAACTCCTGTTAACTTTGTTATATCTTTTGTTTCCCTCTCAAATAGATGAATTTACCTCTCATCTTCTTGCCTGTTCACAAATCTCACATTGACTACCTGCTGCTCACATTCATTCTGTTCTGCCATAACATCAAAGCACCATACATTGCTGCAGGGAATAACCTCAGCATCCCCATCTTCAGGTAAGGACAGTTGGAGCTAAGCTTCTAGTTGCTCTCGAAAAGAAAGCCACTGGTGAAGATCCTCAGCTGGTATGAATTACCATGGCTCCACATCAGCTGAGGATCTTCTCCAGTGAATGCAGGTACCTAGTGATCTGGGCATTGTGTTCACGCTGCTTGAATGTGTTTGGTTCTGACCCAGCATGCTCAAGAAAAGTCTTGCAAAATCCTTAGAGATTCTTCACACAGAAATGGGGTTGCACAAGCTTAAGGGAAATTCTTTCCCCCTTCATCTACAGAGAGTCATTGGGAAGCAGGGAGGTGCTATTAGGAAGTGGAATGCATAGGCTGTGAAGTAGGTGACCATGCAATAGGAGAGTGATAGAGATGAGGCTGTTCAAAGTCCTGTTTTCTTTCTTATATTCTGTAGTATTCACCTGAGAAACAGCATGGAAGGTATAAAATGATGAGAAAAGTGCAGTGTAACACAGTGGTAGAATGAGTTGAATAGGTTCCGTGGTACTGGAGCTTTCAGTGGGATCTGTGTGGTAATGCTTCAGGGACCAGTAAGTACCTTAATAGTTTATGTAGAGAACAGAAAAGTTCATTAAGTGATTTTGGCTAGAGAGGGAATGAATCGGTGATATTTGAGTCTTGATTAGGCCATATGGCAGGTTTAAATATGATTCTGCCTAATCTTGTGATTTTGAAAATTTCAGTGTCTTGAGTCGCCCTACTGAGTGACTAGCTGTCAGCTATTTGAAAGACACCACAGATTTCCTAAAATGCCTTTCTGAACTGTTAGTCTCTAAGGTGCTACTTTGCTCTGCCATCTGTCTCGTATAAGAAGAAGGATTCATAAAGGAGTTCAGTTGCATGCAAACTAGAAAATGCCCCATCTGGTTTAGTCCAATCATAATTGAAACCATAACCATGTTTTTTTTAATCCAAGGATTCAAAAGCAATCTGTTTTCCCCAGGGGCTTTTGGAGTTTCCCCAAGGGGTAAAGAGGCTAATTTTGGTACATTGCTAATTAGGAGGAGTGAAATATGTGAAGGTTGAGATCACTGACCTCAGTTTTTGAAATTGGGGTATTCAGTGTCTAGAATTTTTCCATAACCACTTTGTGAGGGAGAGTGACTGAGATGCAGCGTTCATCTGATGCAGTCATCTCTTAAATGTGGGTGGTTTTAACAATGTATTCTTTTTATGTCTGACTAAAGTTAGCAAACCATATCTTTCTTTGCTATGTAGCACATTAATCCGCAACCTTGGAGGCTTTTTCATTCGGCGGAAGTTGGATGAGAACAGTAATGGACGTAAAGATGCCCTGTATAGAGCATTGCTCTATGTGGTATGTATGAGTCTTCTGAATTAATATAAATACATTAATTTAGTTTCAGTTATCTGATGGATGAGAGAGTGTGCACCATGTATACAAGGGGATATTTTCAGTAGCTTTTTAAACCTTAATTAATTTGACCAACTTTGATAGATCGGTGAATTATATTGATTTCTATAATGTGTTTTTAGAAGAAAATTTCCTGGTTATTTTACCCATCAAGCATGTGGGAGTTGAGAATATCTGGTACCTTTTGAGATTAGTTAATTTTTCACTCCCTGCAGGCCTTATGAGTGATTCTACAAAATTTAAGTCTAGGAGCCAAACTGAGATTCCTTTTGCAGTGATGTAAATTTCTTGTAACTCCATTGGCTCAGCTGACATTCACCTATTTCTGTTTATATTTTCTGTGGTTTCAGTATAGAAAAACAAAAAGATAATTGCAATTTAGAAGATGGGATACAGTGGGAAACAATAAAAGAGAAGAGCTTAGATGGTTTAAAAATATACAGCTATTGTTAGGTTGCTTCCTTTTGGCTTTGTAGAAGTGCTCAACTTATATTAATAGAAATGAAATCGGAGTTTGGGCCGTTTATCTATCAAACACAAATTATTACTCCAGATTATTCATGTAGTTTTCTGTATATCTTAACTATTTCCAACCTTTTTTTAAATAGAAGGCTATTGGTGTTATGGAACAATGAGTTTAGTGCAACTCATTAGATTAGATTGTGTAATTAGATATTTGTTTTTCCTCCTTTGTATTTGCCATCCATTTAGCACATTGAGGAATTGCTCAGACAGCAGCAGTTCCTAGAGATATTCCTGGAAGGTACACGGTCTCGCAGTGGAAAAACATCCAGTGCCAGAGCAGGTCTCCTGTCTGTGGTTGTAGATGCTCTCTTTGCAAATGCCACCCCTGATGTACTAATTATACCTGTGGGAATTTCATACGATCGCATCATTGAAGGTCACTATAACAGTGAACAGCTGGTAAGGACAACTGAAAACTTAGTGCTCTGCTTAGGGGAGTTTGTTTATATTCAGTAAAAACCTATCTATTTTTTGGTTCAGCACTGGTTTACCATCAGTGCCTTCATATTGTGTACAAGTTAAATGCAAAGAAATATAGCTGTCTGTGCCAAGAAATATAGCTGTCTGTGCCAGAGACAGAGTTGATATTTGTCTGTCACACTTCTAGATACAAATTTATCACATAGCAAACAATAAACACAATTGTATAAGCTAAAAAACCCAAAAGATTCCTGAGGTTATGATGATGGCTGTACCCTTTCATAGATTAAATATGTGTCAAGAGATTTGTATTGATTTTAACTGTGTTCTTGATTCTGTGAAAAATCAAAAAGCTTTTCATTGCAGATGAATATTGGTTGTGCTTTATAATGTTTTGCAGGGCAAACCTAAGAAGAATGAAAGCCTTTGGAGTATAGCTAGAGGGGTTTTCAGAATGCTGCGGAAGAATTATGGGTGTGTCAGAGTAGACTTTGCACAGCCGTTTTCTCTAAAAGTAAGTTTGATACTGTGGAAACATCCGTCTCCTGTGAACTCTGAGTTATTAATAATTCAGGAGAACTGCAGGCGAGTTCTCTCGGTCCACAAGCATTGCTTTCAACCCATCAATAGAGTGATGATGCTTTTCCAGAAACCCACTGGCTGATACTTACTAGTACGTTCATATAGAGCAGTACGCATTCTCTAAAATATAAATATTGTGATAAAGGAGATAAGATCTTAAACTAGTTCTTGCTAGCATCTTGCTTTCAAGAGTTAGCAATAACAAATACTTCAGAAACAAATAAAATTTCCCGTGATGCATCTGACTAGTTGTGCAGTTCAAAAATAGTAGTGCTATGCAATAGCTGACTTGCAAATAGATGTTTTTGTATCCTTGGATCCATTCTGCCATGTGCATTTAATATATAGAACTTCATTTTGACATTCCAAACATTGAAATATCAAAGGATTTTTAAATGTCTGCTTAGTTTCCTTCCTCCCATCCCAGTTACAGCAGAACAGCTAAATTCTATTTTGGGAAACATTTAACTTTAAATAATCCTAGTTCATTTTTTTTCTCTTTCACAAGCCTGCAAGAAGCAAAATATCCCCACCAAAAAGGGTTTTTTACTAGGGCTAGTACAATGGTGCTTGGCATTTTGGCCTGATGGGCCAGATAAGTGGCACGGGGCTAGATTGGGCCCCACCCACATCCCCAGATTGGGCCCATGTGGCCTCAGCTGGCCCCTGCACACTGTAATTACAGTGCATTGGAGCAGCTTCTCTGCACCTGTATAGGTGCCCTTCATGCTTATGTATATTGATTCTCATAGTAAATTGTTATGATAATGCTGAACGTACCAGTATGTCAAATGTTTGGTATGTTGTAAAAGTATAACTTAATAGGGTATCTTACTGAGGTGTGAGGAAAGCTTGCTAGCATTTTATGCAGATTATTTGAGAGTAGAGACATTTTTTGCTGAATTGCCACAGTCTGTGACTTTAATGACATTAAGCACTTGAACAGTCAGGCTTCTGATTCCTTAGGTGTTCTTCCTCCTACTCATTCTTGTAGAAAAGACTTATGTGGGAGAATTTTGAGTGTTAGTTATGCTCCAAACAATATAATGCATTGTAGTTAACAGTAGACAACAGAGCTGTTTAATACACTTCTACATAAAAAGTATGCATCCGTTCCAAGCTGTTCTTGGAATGAAGTTAGCAGTTGCCCATAGATTATTTGTGCCTTCTTACACTTTTGAAATACAAAATTGGCCTGTATCTATTCTTTAACCATAACATGGCTAGTAACCTCTTTTATGCCCTGTTTGTGTTAAGGTACTTGCACTCTACAATGGGTTAAATGTGAAAGAAACTTCTTTAAGCATGTCTGTGTTTAAAGGTTTGCAATAAATATAGCTGTTAAATCAGTTTAATTTGACCTGGGTAGGTTTTCTAGTGTAGACAAGCATTTCGGCATCAGTTTGAGCTCCTGCAATCTTGTGGGTATAGAAGTGGAAAGTAAGTGGTAACTTTGCTGTGAAAATTTTATCTTAAGTCTTTAAACAGCTTTTCTGTAAGAGGAATGCTTACTGCATGTGCAGGCTAAGTTACCTGGTTTTGTGAGCCAATCTGTACAGGAACTAGAAGAATATCATGTCCTGAAGACTGAATGGCAAAAGTAAACCTTTAAAGATAGAAGCTTTACTTATTCTTGAAAAGCTGGGCATTCATGCATTCCAACTGTGTGCTGCACCTCCTTGATGGCACAAAGTTGAAGGCACAAACCAAAGGAGACACCTGGTTTCTGAGCTTTATTGACAGTACTGTGGGTTATGTCAGAACCAGATTGCCTGCAGTGAAGATGTCCTCTCTGCTGGGGTTTGTTAAGAGAGCCCTGTTGTACCATCACTGACATCGGTATGATGCACAGGCACTTTGGTTTTGTTCCTATTCCTCAGTAAAAACTACTATTAATTTTATTGCTACAGAATCTAACCCTAAAGGAAATGTTGCCAGAGCAGTGCAGGTGAGGGGAATATCTCCACAGATGCTTTTTTATTGTTGTGCTTTCCTCCAAGTAAGAATCCTGTTCACATTGAAAGTGTATTTCCTTTCTGCCTAATTCCAGACCCATCTATATGCCAGTGAATAAACTAGCAATTTTCTCTTTCCCAAACCCTACTACTTGTTTCATTCATTTCCTTAAAATCACTTTTGAATTTACTTGCTCTCCTGCAAGACTT